ACACACACACACACACACACACACTGGACAGAAGCAATGAAGGACAGAGCAAGAAGAACTCATATTGGCATCTGGAGAACCGACTCCATCCAGCTACAACACAAAACAAGCAAAGAAGTGAAAGCGGACACAGTCACTTGCTGCAGTACTTTACACACAGATGTCTCAGTCAATAGCTCAGTGCCATGCTATGTGTCGTTGCGTTTTGAAAATGCATTCATACACTGTTTGTGCTGAGGATTAGCTGCTTATGAGGTGTAAAAAGTTCATGGGGAAGTTTTTTCTGACCTGATTAGGAGTGAGAGAGGAAATTTGTGTTGACCCTCTGGTTAATCGCCCCCGTACAGAATTAAACACGCAGAAAAAGTTAAGTAGAAGAGCACTATTAATCTTTCAAAGGCTAATTTGACTAACATTGATAAGTGCAGCCATTGGAAGCTGCTTCTACAGATCACAAGGTCATCAGTCACTGTTTGTGTAAATGCAGTGACGCTGTAGAAGGGTTTTATACCCCATAGAGCAGCTGAAATCATTGTTGCTTAAGTAATACGTTAGAAGACAGTGGAGGTCAGTTGTAGGACACTTAAAGCTTTGCTAGTGTTTCAGTGTAACCAGCACAGGAAGACGTTCCACTTTGAGGCAGGGAGGGAGGGCGAGGGAGGTTTCTGAAATGGTTCTGCCCACCTTGGTAGTCACTGTGAGGAGGGGCTTCCCTTCTGATGACGCCTTACTTGGTATCTCCTTCAGGACCATGGCAACAGTCTTATCTGCAGCCCTAGAGTCTTTCCCCTACAACAGTGAGATCAACAATGACTTGTGTCAGGACAGTTGGACAACTCAGTGATTTTAATTTTTTTATCCTCATCCAGGGCATCTTACAGAACAGACTTTAGCTTATGAGGATGAATTACTGAGGGGGCTGTCTAACAACAACAAAACATAGACTGAAGACATTTCCACAAGACTATGGCGATGAGAGGAGGGTCACTGCACAATGTAGAGGGTTTGACTTTAGACAATGATGAGCATGTTGGTCCACAGCATTGTTTGTCCACAGTATGATGACAGAATATTGTTCAGAGCTCATTACACACCCTACAGCCTAATGTGTGTACAGTACTGTGTGTGCATGATGCGTCTACTAGTTTGTGATATTATTGCTATAGGTTGTGATTGTAAAACCTAAATAGTTCCAGTTTCTTGAATGTGAATATTATGGGATTTTCTCAGTCTCCTGTGATGTGCTTTAAATATCTGGGTTTGGACTGTTTGTCAGACAAAGTAAAACTTTTGAAGAACTCTGGCAAATTATGACAGACATTTTGAATTTTCTAGACCAAACGGCTAATTGGGAAAATAATCAATAGATAAACTGCTGAAGAAAATAATGGTTATATGCAGACCTTACAACAGCAGTGCTCAGTGTGTATGAGTTTTCAAACCTGTGTGATGATGTCAGATGATTTGAGAATAAAGGAGGAAATAAATAAAAGCTATTTCAATCTAACAGTACTCATCTGTTACTATTGTGAGGTACATTTCGTTTAGTTTTTCTAACCATCAATCTAACCTGGTTGAAATCACTATGAAAGTCTCTGGTTTGATTCTGGCCAGGGAACTTTGCATGTCAAACGCTTCTCTGCCTCTTTTCGCCCCCTAACCATTTCCTGATTGCATTTCTGCTTTGACTTATCAAATGAAAGCTACCAAAAACAATTAAAATAATATTTTCTGAAATGTTTTTTACAAAGGGACACTGTTTAACAGATTGCATCTGTACATAAGTGGCTTTAGACAAAGTTATTTGTACTGAAAAATCCTGCCTAGTGAAACATCTGTTTGAAGGTGAATGTCCGGAAACAAAGTTCTCTTCAAAAATATAATTAATGTGTTGGTTGAATTCCTAAGTGTAACTTCTGGAAGTACTTGATTGTCCCACATATTTGAGCAGTGCGATGTAAAACAAATTGTTACAGTTGTTCCAAGATAATATAACTTCATATAATCAAATACAATAACATTTACAAATAGTAATTAATTAATGTTACACCTAAGGATAATGTTAAGTCACAATAAAAGTTGTGTTGTTGTTATCACTCACTTGTAAAATCCTTTTTATTCACATGGGACATCACCAACAGTCCCCTCTTTAACAGTCACTAGAGAGAAGCTGTTAATCCACATTAACACCCATTTGTGAACTGTCTGCTCCTAAGAGCCACAAATAAATGAAAACATAATTAGAAAGGAGTTACACTTTTGGAGTCAGGGAGCCTGCTGTAATGCGGCTGGTCACTCAAACAGTTGATTGTTTCGTTACTACAATTATTTAGACAACATAATCAGTATAAACTCAATGACTGAGAATTGTGACCGCGATACCAACATTTACCCTCCGAGCATCAATTGTCCTGCCCTCAGCTACCACCCACAGGCTCTTCTCGGAAGTCAACTGTGTGGACCTTACACGATAATTGCGACTGCCACATTACATAACAGTAAAAATTGATTACATAAGAGTTCAAATTGATTCCGCCTGACTATTGTCATTCTCTTCACCTTCACTTTATGACAGAAGCTGGACTGCAGAAACCACCCGCCTCCCCTCAAACATTCATTCACTTTAACAATCTACCCACAGCCGCAAGATAGATTATACATTCAGCGATTAATCATCTCGCAGATGTCACAGAATTACCTCTGTCACAGGAGACGACACATTTCATCTTATACAAGCACTCATCCTCCTGCAATCAAATTTGCTGACCAGAGAGAGAGAGAGAGAGAGAAACTGCTGCTCATCACACTCAGTTTCTACATTTTGCAAACTGTGTGAAGTCGGCTGCATAGACAGAACATGAAGCACCCTGCAAGCCTTTTAGCTGGATCTTGTTAGTGCTCTTCATGTTTCCACTCGCCAGAAAAATGGATTAGGCATTTCTGCCACTGATTTCATCAACCGATCATGTCACAAAATGCATGCGCTCAGAGTTTTCCTTGAAAGCCTAATGTTATAATAAAGTCCCAAAAGCCACCTGAGCCCATTCCCTGGCTTCGACTCGCTCAGTGCAAATGAACAACATCCTTCGCTAACGCGGCTGCCAGGAGCAAAGTGTTTTCCATGAGGCCAGAGATGATTCAGAAGAGATCAAAACAAGCCTGAACATTTGCTTTAAGGTTTTTTTTTCCTGAATGGCAGATGATGCAGTTTGAACAGTGCTGAATGTTCCCTCTTTGCCGTATGTGCAGGTATTGTAAGAGCCAACAGTGGCGAGGATATCTTCTCATAGTCAGTTTGTGTTGGCGTACAGTCTTGGCTGCTCTGTGGTTTTAGGCCAACTTTTGCTAAACTGGCTGTAATTCTTCTAGCAATTAATATCGATGTGTTGGGCCGCACGTCGCAGAGTGACAGTGGTTGATAACCTTTGTCTTTTTTAAAACTTTGTTTTCCTGACAGCTGTTTGAAAGAAAGAAAAATGGAAGCTTTTGTTTTATTACACAAGCTGCCAAAAGGGAGAATAATCAACAATATCAAAGACAGGAATGTGAATTTTTAATTGTTTTGATCAACTGATTTCAGAGTAAAAATTTGGGCGCTGCAGTTCTGGAAGATAAAATCAGAAAAACAAATTATCCTCAGCAGATGAAATGGACCGTGTCATTATGCAAACAGTTTTATCAAATCATAATCCAATCATTAGGTGCTGCTGGTGGCATGGGCACCTAAGTGTTACTGTATATTTCAAGAAATTCAATATACTACCTCCCAGCCATCACAGTGTGGTCATCTATCCAAGCTAATACATTTACTGGTACGTTGGTGTCATACACAGGTATTCTCAGAGGCAGGACTGAGGATCTTTATGAATTTCATTAGAAAGTACAAACCAGAAGTTTCAGAGGTAGTGACAGGAGTCTGGAGAGAGTTTGGTCAGGGAAGAAAGGTTAAAAAAAAACTGCAGTTTCAATTTCAGGCAGAAGCAATGACCTGAGAGAAACCTTTGTTTGCTTTTGGGTGAAAGAGGCACATGTTCTTTTAACCTGAGTCAAACTGCTGCTTTTAGAGTCTGAAAGCAGCATCACAAATAATGATGGACCCTTTAACTAATCAAAAATGTAACTAAACTGATTTCGACTCATCTTTTATAACAGGATTCAGGTTTTCTATTTACCAGAAATTTTGAAAGCGCTCGGAATCTTAAGGCCAACCCTTGACAAGTAGACAAACTTCAAAACCCAAGAAGATTTTATTGTGTGAATAGTGGGCTTTGCAACAGTATCAATATACTGAGCAGGAGTAAAACACACATCTGTACATTCTCATGTAATCCATCTTAAACAACAAAGGCATGCATGGAGACTCAGACTAATGATGAGTAAAATTACATTTTTACTGCAGCACTGTTGCATTGTATCATCTGTGGCATGATGAAATAATCTATACTGAATTTCATGTGTCCCTGAATATACACGAGGAAGCTTCTTTAGAGAAGAAATACTACTGGGACATGGCAGTACTGTACTTATCAGATATCTAAGTTCAAGGTGCCTCATCAGTATGCCGGACACGGTACTGAGGGGGTGTAACCCTACCATACTTTGGTATGAAGGGGTCATCTCAGGTCCCTGTTCCTGTCGTCTGGCTTAGTATAGTGACTGAAACATCAAGCTTTTCTTTTCTGTGCATACTGCCCTCAACCATTATTTAAAAAAAATTCAGAGCAAAGGTTTCCCATGTAAAGTTAATAAATCCTTTAAAGGTGATTGTCTGACCAAATACAAAGTTGTCCAGACTGTCAGTCATGTTGTGTAACAAACCTGTTCCACTGTAGCATTACATACTGTTTGTGATGTAGACATTTTATGTCTGGTAGTCAGTAGTTTGTCATCTCAAATAGTGACTCTGTTTAAATGAACACCAATAATCAGTTTATTTTGAAGAAGGCATTGGTCTGATTATGATGGTTACATGAGTTGCTAAAATAATATTTCTTTCACATTCCCATCTACATGTTTACATGTTACTGAGCATAGACTGATTATGTCCAAATTTCATGCACAACATCCAATGTTCCCGCCTGAATTTAAAAAAAGTTAATACAGTATAAAATGCTTCTGTAATATAAAATGCACTTCACAGGCCTCTCCACAGTTCCTGTGAAGGCTGGATTTCATGAGGGAATACCTACTGCTCTAAATCAGGCCACCTCTCTGTTGATCCATTTTATCGTGTTAAACAGGTGACATTTAAGTCTTGTGTTATGTAACAGAGAAGAGGCTTCCCCACCAGATCTATCCCAGAGCCTCAAGGGAAAAATAGCCACATTTATAAAGCTTTGGTTGCAGACGGACAAAAAAGGACTAAAGACAAAAAAAACTATTTCACTTTCTATTGCAAAGAATGGTCTGAACCTGGAGACCAATCTGCCGTCATGTTTGCCACATGCTACAGCATCAGCTGGCTCTAATAATACACTGTGGTTTCTGATGCTTCTCTGTGCTGCTGGCAAACATCTAGTCTCTCACCTCTCATGATTCGCTCTTGGCTTCAGAGAGATGCCACAAAACGATAGCTGGGGTGTCTCTCTGCAGATGGAATATTGATCACAGTCGGGGAATGAAAACTATGGACATTTGAGGAAAATATTAGAAAGACTTCTGGCCCCAGTGAGAAGTTAGACAGCGAATAATGAGTAGATTGCCAAAGCTTCTTATGCTGACTGTAACAAATCGTGATAAAGCAGATCCTTTGGGCATCGAACGTGCCTCAATAGGAGCCTACGGCTTCCTAACAGGGC